CTCTCTCTCTCTCTCTCTAGCTCTCTCTCTCCCTCTCCGCCGATCGCGCGATCGCGGATCTCGCGCGGGCGTCATACAGAATGATACTGTAATAAATAACAAGATCCGTCGATCGGTCGGGGAGCAACGACGACGACGTCGCACGAGGGATGAGATACCGTCGTCGCCCCGCCTGATTACATTGATATCTCCCGCTTTTTCGTATTCTACGTTGGCGTGAAAGTCATTGTTCTACCCGGTCACTGGCCTTCGCTGTCGCTGTCGCTCTTATCTGCAAAATGGATATTTCGTAATGTTATTTGCTGCGCCGCATGGCACGCACGGAAACGTTTTCTGAGATAGCGCGCTGACGTTACCAGTCTGGCAATCAAGTGGAACGAGAAATTGTTACGTGTTTTAGCGATAGTAAAAAGACGGGGGGGGGGCAGCATTACGTAGGCTTAAATTAACTGTATAAAATTAATAAATAAGCAGCCGGTCGTCCGCGAAGCGTGCCGCATCCGATCCTGTTGGCAGTGATTTTCGGACGACCGCACGTATGATGAGCCGGCGTTGATTAATACGATTACGAGGGTAGTTGCGGGATTGTACCTTTTTTACCGGTATACGCGTGACGCTTCAGTCTGTCGTAAAGATCGTCTTTTGTGCCGTAAATACTGGCGTTCGATCGAGCAAGACTGTTCATCTTGCCTCCGTTGTGCAGGCTCTCTGTGTAAGAAAAAAAAGAAAGAATTAACGAGTTAATTTATCGACATTGCAATATAAATTAAGTCTTACGATGGACACTAATCGTATCTATTGTAAGAATGAATAATCCGATGTTTCATGGAAGCTTAAATTGTAGTCTCAATTTCGTGCTCGCCCCGATGGAAATATCTTGCTGAAGCTATGAAATCGATGAAAGATAAAATAAAAGTTATGGAAAAATTACCGAATGTTTTTCAAAGTAAACTGTAATTTTCCTTGCGTTTTCAATGTAATACTGCGAAACATAAAGAAAGTTACTTAGTATACTGTTGAAAAGTAAATAAAGAAAATTTTGAAATTTACGGAATTTAATTAAAAACTGTGTTACCGTTTAATGAGGGCATTGTGGTGTACAGATTTGCAGCATTACTGGGCACTACTAGGCATTGCTAGGCATTTTTTGGGCATTAGTTTGGGCATTAGGCCTTGCTGGGGCATTAGAAAGATGAAATAAGATCAAATAAGACAAATAAGATAAAATTATGCCCATATTAGTTGGTGCATAAGATTTTGGTCAGCGGCTTTCCCCTCGCAAATTTCATAACATTTTCAGTAAAATATTTCTACCGGGATTTAATACAACAATTATATACCTATGTATGTACCTTTCATGTAAGTTTCGTTATAGAAATTGGGCATCTCCCAGCCATCCTCCTCGTCGTCGTAATAATGAGCGTACGTGCTGTGATGCGACGGTGCTATCGACTCGGCGTATGGCGTTGGCGCACCGTAATAGAAATTTACCTGGGAGCCGTTTTGGTCGGTCGCTGGAGTGAGCATTTTCTTCGGCTCTTTCTTTCTGGAGGCTCTGTAAAAAAAAAGAAAGGTAAAATCCCGTTACCGATAAAATACTAATTTGCGATACGGCTCATATTTAAATAATCTTGTTGAAGAGTTGTTCGCGATACACTCGAGGCGAGGAGAAGTCTACCGATAACGCGACTTGTTATCGCGCGTATGGATCAATCGCGTTTCTTTACCAACCTGACGCAAATCATCCAGACAAGCAGCACCACGATGATTATCAAGATAACACCTCCCGCTATGCCGCCGGTGATGTAGAAGAACTCGGACTTCTCCGTGCAATGCTTGCCGGTGAAGCTGCCGCTGCATCTGCACGAGGGTTGCCCGCGCGAGTCCTTCAGGCAGACGCCCTCGTTGTCGCAGTAGCCCAGACACACGTCCGTGCACACGGTCCCTGTGCCGTTGTACCCAGGCTTACACTCGCATTTGAAGTCGCTCGTCTCGGGTATGAGTAGACAATATGCGTTTGCGTCACAATGCATCTCCTCGCCGCTGGTCTCGCAAGGATTCGTGCACTCTGCCTTGCTCGTCTGTTAACAAACGTGGACGTCGTTCAGTAAGCTATCTTCATTTCTCGACAAGTTTGGCAAAATGTGTGATTCAAAATATGAATGGATGGAACATTTCAGAAAAGAAGACTCACAGCGGCAGATCCTTTGGTGCTGGTGTTCGGCGGGCACGGGATGCAGAAGGTCTGCTGCGGTTCCGATTGGTAAGTTCCCTTCTTACACTCCACGCACTCGTTGAGGGTGCCGTTGAGGAAAGTCCCGGAGTCGCAGATCGGAAGCGAGCACTCCTCGACTGCCGCCGATCCCATGTTCGGAGTTGTTCTGCTATGCGGGCAGGCTTGGCAGGACGCCTGAACCCCTTGGGTCCGATACGTGCCACGCGGACAGGGCTCGCATTTCCCTTCGACGGCCAACTGCTGCCCGGATCCGCACTCGTCCCGGCACTCTTCCCGCGACACCGCCTCTGCCGTTCTCGTGGTCTTCCCGAGGCCGCACAGTAAGCAGGAGAAGCTACCCTCGTTCGGCTGGTAGAATCCATGGCCGCAGCTTCGGCAGAGACCGGCCGCGTCGTCGTAGTACTTGCCGGCAGGACAACGCTCCTTGCAGTCCGCCGCGCTACGCGCACCAGGACCCACGGTCACGCTAGGACGACCGGCGATCACCGGGCAGGAACTGCATTTTAATTGTCCCGATTCGCTCTGATAATGACCCACGGGGCAGGACACGCATTGCTTCGTCTCCTCGTCGTAGAACGTTCCCACCGCACACGGTACTGCAAGGGAAATTAATGAGAAGACCATCAAGACGAGTCTTTCTCGAATGCTTTTTTTGACATTTCGGTCACTAAAAAGCATTCGCGAGATTTTCTTAAATTAAACGGAGGTATATTTTCCTCTCGCGAGCGGATAGAGATCGGGTTTGAGTATGTCAAAGAAATTATTTTTAATACACTGAGAGAAATATACGATTAAATATAATCGCATAATAGCAAACGGATGTATCCGATTAAAAACATGATCGGTTTTTCGATAAAATTTTATCGGTAACTGCATTCAATCGAATCAATTTCATCGGATAAATACAAAATTTAATCAGAAAAATTAACTTTTGGAAACACTATTTAATTGGTTTATCCGATGAAAAAGATGGTCGGATTTTCCATAAAATTTCATCGGTAACTGCATTTAATTGAATAATTTTCATTGGATACATGCAAAATTTAATCAGAAAAGTTAATGGGAAAAGTTAACCATCGGAAACACCATTTAATAGGTTCATCCGATGGAAATTTTTCTCAGTGTCAACATTTATGAAACAGCGTCTTACCACAATCCGGTGTCATGACAACTTGACCAATCGGACAAGCATAGTCGGATTCCAGGACGAGAGATGCGGGATCCGGCACGGTGTTAGGTAGAATGTCGTGAACGTCGAATTTGTCCTCTTCGAGGATCAGTCTTTCGAGCAACGTTTTTACGGTAGAGCGCTCGTGTGAGTTGGTGTTCACAATCGGATCGCTGCGAAACATAAAGGACAGTTATCGTTTTGCAGCCGGATGGAATATTTACAGTGGTAACAGGCGTGGAAGGGTTTGCGCAAATATGTACAGCCGTTATCTTGAGGTGAGTGTAATTAAGGCAGCCTTGTCTTTGGACCAGGATCCTCGTCAGTGGACTCGTGTACCGCAGGTTAAACCGCAATCACACCCTTAGCAATTCTAATTAATGCACGCAAATTTGTATTTACTCGCCGTCACGTTGATCACGTATGTTGTCAAATGTATGTTGGAATTGTCACTCGTAAACCGAAGCTGTTGGATCGCTGTTAAGCGTCACAGAACTCAAAGTAGCGAAATCGCATGAATTATCGTAATTTCAGAAATTCTAGTCAATTAATTTCCGTGAGTCAGTAGCGTCGCCCAAATCGAATGATAGATTTCTCTTTAACAAAGTGAGCCCAGTGAGAAATAGTTCGTCAATCGATGTCGAAACGATGTCAAATTGATGTCGAATCGACGTCAATCGACGAGTTATTTCTCGCTGGAAAGCGATCTCGCAGTTACAGATTTTAATTTTGTTACGTTGCTGTCACTGTCGGAAAATATGTGGACACCTGTTGCAGCCCGCTACGATGACGTCCCACCTGTATGTACGGTGATCAGGCGTGATCAGTTAGTAAGAACGTGCAGCTTTTACTTATGCAGTTCTAAAGTGTGATCCGACACTTTGCTGGACGTAGGATTAGTCGTTAGTATAATTCAATCGATGATTTTTCGACGCTTATTTCAAGTCTGGGAGTTATGCGCTGTTATCGTAGGACGAGGGAGCGCTGAAATGCGATTAAACGGGGGGGAAATTATAACAAACTGCAAACGGTTTAATGAGTGGTAACGTTATTAGAGATGATGACGGATGACGGGTAAGACATATAAATGAGTTGAGTCGCGCTGGCGTGAATCGAGCTGTCCTTACTTTATCGCCGGAAACGAGATCTCCACCTCGTAGGTGTCACTGCCTTGGCGACCCTTTCTCGTTCTATGATGCAACACAAGTAACAAAAATACTCAGTACGGAGATTCCCTGGAAAGGTTCTTGCACAATGCTAGCACAATGCTAGACCATAGCGATAGCGATAGAAATAGAATTCCAACACTATGAGTTGAAACTCTGTATTGATTGACTTGTAGTCTACGAGGTTATCGCTATCGCTATCGCTATGGCTGTGCAAGGGCCTTAAGCGTGATGCGTGGCGCGGACAATAAACTGTAGTATCTGGCAATTAAATGACCCGATTGAGTTGCAAGGGCAAGCCGTGATTTGCACACATTGTAAATTAATTTTAAATAAGAGGAAAATATATTTAGAACAATTGATGAGTTGACCTGTTTTAATAATTGCGACTTGCACCTGTAAACGTTTGAGCGACAAGAACTTCTTAGACGTTTATTAATTGGAAGATCATAATTTCAGCACACTTACGATTTTACTGGCGCAGCGGCAGAGACGACGTACGTTCCACCGTCCTCCTCGCCCGTTTCTCTCGTTGTGCGCACTCGATGATCGCATTGTACATTGATGCCAAGGTCCTTGCACTCGTTAGTTCCTTAAAAAAGTCACAAGTGAAAATGTAAAGTGATGCGAAAAATGTGCAGTTATAAATAACAATTCGTTGGCAAATTACCTTCTAAAGAGTATGAACAGAAATTCCAATCCCTGTTCAAGGAGTTGACGGCGTTTCGAACCTTATTTTTGAGCACAGCTTGACCGGCCTCGTTACAGAGCACCGACGTGGGGAAGTTCATTTTGATCCTGAAGACTCTTTGGGCTGAAGTAGCGCCTAAAACAATGTTGAGTATAGGAAACACGCGAAAGGACTTAAGTCTTCTTCTTCTTCTCTTCACATCGGAAGCAGTCAGATGTGTAAACGTGTATTACTTATAGCAAAGTGTATTATCAATTAATATTTGGTCGATTTATTGCATCCACATGCGATTCCACGCTTTGGCATCGAATTTTAACGAACAAGGCTTGTTAATTTATCTGGGAAATAAGATGGCTGTATAAGAAAACGAGTCACGTATAAGTCGCTTACTGGTGCAAGCTGGATATACTAAAGGCAGACTGGGATCACTGGTAGGTCTCCAGAAGCCTTCTGCACCACACGTGTAGAATTTGGGGATCTCTTGCGAGAACTGAAGTCCGGCATTGCAAGAAATCTCGCAGACCTTAAACTGGCCTCCCGTACCCCAGCCTTTGCATTGTTGCGTGCCACCAATAGGATCGGGCAATGTCGGACAAAATGCGGCTGCAGTGAGAAAAATTTGTATGTTGAAAATTCACGCGCGTGCAATTCCAAGAAACAATATTAATATCTAAACGAAATTTGAACGTTTATTTCATACATAATGACTAGGGAGATGACTTCACTTACACAACACGTAAACCTTGAAGTTGCAAGTGGCCGAGTTCCCGGCCTGATCGTAAGCCACGTAGTTGATGTCGTAGGTGCCCCACAACAGAGTCTGCCCGGACCGGTGTCCGTTCTTCTCTTGGATCCTAATGATGCCGACATTGTCACTGAATCGCGGTTCGTCCCAGGTGACAATCGACGATCCGTTCTTCGCGAACACCTCAAGATCGCCCGGGCAGTACACCAATGTAGGCGGGATCTTGTCAGCTGCGCGTTCCTGACATTTGTTGCCACCGTAGCCTGGCGGGCACACTCGCTGCCCGCAATGCGACGGCATGACTCTCTCGACACCACCCACGCTCTCGTCGTATCCCGCCCACGTCAGCATCAGGCCCTGATAGAGAACCGGTTCCGTGCGGCAGTCGCGAACTTGCTTTTGAATCTCGTTCGTCACGTGTAACGCACGGCCCCAGACTTGCACCTTGGTTAGATGACCTTGGAAGCCCAACTCCGTGTATCCTTTCTCGTCCTGTGGTTTTCCTAACACCGCCCATGCGCTGCAGAAAGTTTCAATTATTAACGGATTACTATTTTCTAATATTGTAAAAAGAAATCATCGAAGAAAATGCCTCATGATCTTTTATGTTTCTTTCGAGGAGAGATCCCCTTGGGAAAATATACTTTAGAAAATTTTTTAATTTTATTTTAGAGAAATAAGAAATACGAAAAGTAGGCTATGCCGCGCGGCTCTCTATTCTAGTTTTTAGAGTACGACATTAAAGTAAAATTTTGTAATCTTTCATTTTCCTAAAATTGCCCCAAGTGTCTAAATTTACTTAAAAATTTCTTACTCCCTAAAAGTCAATCAGTGACTATTCGCTGTTTTCAATAATCCACTGATTGACTTTTAAAGAGTAAGTAAACTTTTAACTTCTTTAAGTAAATTCTTAGATTTCACAAAGATTACTTTGAAAAACTTTAATTTTATTTAAAGTAAATTTTCTTAAGGGGACACTCACTATGCTGGGAGTGATCTGCCGCTGCCGTAGCCCTCAGCCTTGCTAGCGATGAGACCTTCAGTGATTAAAGTGAGTTCTCCGCCATTCTCGCCATTCCACACAACAGCGACGTGGTGCCACTGTCCGTCGTTGATGGTCGCGTATTCTTTAAATTGCAGGAAGACGTCGTGCAGATCGGGGAAAAGAAGTACCTGGACACCGGTGCTCTGTGCTTGGAGCATAAGTCTTCGGTTCGTTGGAACGTGCGGCGAGCTGAAGACAAGATTTTACATATGTACATGCTCGTGTGCTACATTACTCGACAAGAAAACAATAGTGAATCATTACGCCACAGGAGTTTCAAACGAAACAAAAGTGTAAAGCCTATGTACCTAACGTCATAAAGAGAGAAGAAAATTCCAGTTTCGTCTTTCGGTGTAAACTGCACCCACATAGCGACGGTGAGGCTCTTTGACGAGCCAGTGAAAAATGGAATGACCTGCGAAGCGCTGCTACGTCCTGGGTCGCTGAAGTACAAGTCGTAGTCCACTTGGATAGCTGCAAGAATTCAAAAAGCAGGATTAAAATTGATCATCTTTCTAATGTAATACTGTAGCAAAAAAAAGGAATTTGAGAAACATACATTTCCTGCAATCGTCGCCAGTTAAGTTGAACGGACACTGGCAGAAGAATTTGCCTGTGAGATCGATACAGGTTGCCGATGGTGGGCAAGAATTTTCTTTGCAATCGATTATGTCTTCCTCGCAAGTTTTACCTAGTACAGGCAATTAATTAGCTTTCAGAAATAACAGTCTTTGACGGGACGAACAATACGTTGACATGGACATATTAAAAGAATACCGGTATATCCTGGAGGGCATACGCAGGTGAATCCGGAACCTTCGTCGAGACAAGTTGCCCCATTTTTGCAAGCGCCAGCTTGGCAGGCGTCGTACTCGTATTGACAGCCGATGCCGGTGTAATCGCTCGGGCAAGTGCAATTCAAGCCAGAACCGAAGTCTTGGCAGCGGCCGTGGTGCATGCACGGATTCCCGATGCAACGTTCCGGCGCCGTCTCGCATTGCTTGCCGTCGGTGCCGGACGGGCAACTGTCGGTTGAAAAGTCGCGTAAACCAACGAGTTTTATTCGCCTTTCATCATTCGCCTTTAACATCGTGGGAATATATTACTTACACGCAGAAGTAGTCCATAAACAAGTTGACGCAGACGGCGTCGTTCTGACAGGGTCGATTCTGGCACATGCCAACGTCCGCTTGGCAGTACACGCCGCTCCATCCCTCGGGGCATATGCACTTGAAACCACCGACCTCGTCTCTACACGTCGCGCCGTTCAGGCAGGGATCGGACGCGCAGTCGTCTATGTTGATCTCGCAGGACGACCCGGTGTAGCCTTCGCGACAGTGACAGACGAAGGTGTTGTCGAGATCTACGCAGCGATCGGTGCCGACCGGGTTGCAAGGGTCGCTCTGGCACTCGTCGATTTCCGCTTCGCACTGTAACCCAACGAAGCCGGGTCTGCACGTGCAGACGAAGCCCTGCAGCTGGTCTATGCATGTGGCTCCGTTTTGACACGGATCCGACGCACAGTCGTCAATCGTATGCTGGCACTGCTTGCCCGTATAACCGGGCTCGCATGTGCAGATATAGTCGTCGATCTGATCAATGCACTGGCCGTTATTTCGGCACGGTTTGGACGCGCACTCGTTGATGTTTGTCTCGCAGGCCGTGCCGATCCAGCCCGGATGGCAGATGCACTCGTGGCTGAAAAGCTTGTCCACGCAAATCCCGTTCAGACAAGGATTGCCCGAGCAGAGGTCGATTTTCTCATGGCAGCGTTTGCCAGTGAATCCTGGCGGGCAGTCGCAGGAGAAGTCGTTGATCAGATCGGTGCAGTTGGCGCCGAGCAGGCAAGGTTGCTCAGCGCAATCGTTGATATTGATCTCACAGCTCTGACCTTCCCATCCCGGCAGACAATCGCACGTGTAGCGACCCTGCTGAAGAGCTACGCAAGTCGCGCCGTTATTGCAAGGATTTCCGCTGGCCGTGCAAGGATTTATCTGCATAAAGATACGAGAATGCAATTAGATACATGTACATGAAATATAAATAATTTTATAAGCTATTTAATATTTATACGTAGAATACAATTTGATTGCATTATATTATCCTCTATACAAGACTTTTAGATTGAAAGCCATAAAGAGAAGCACTTACAGTGATATCGCAATCAACCCCGGTGTATCCGGATCGGCAGAGGCACGTGTAATTGTTAAAGCCAGGCTCGTCCTTGCACATGGCTCTCTCCGGACACGTATCGTTCGTACAATCCGACCTCTCCTCTTGGCAATTGATGCCAGAATAACCGTTGGCGCATTGACACCTGTAACCTTGCGGCAGATCTATGCAAGTGGCACCGTTATAGCACGGCTGAGACGCGCACTCGTCGATATCGATCTCGCAGCGTCTTCCAGAGAAGCCGGCTGGGCAGTAGCAGTGGACACCGTGTCCCATTTGCACGCAGAGACCGCCATGCTGGCACACGCTCTCGGTGCACTGGACAGGCTTGCACTCCTCGGAGCCGACCGAACCAGATGCTTCTGTATACATGGTTGCTGGACACTCTGTGCACGTGGTCGCACCGTGCTGAGTCTGGTAGAAGTTTTTGGGACACTGAGCGCAGGGAGTGAGTCCCGTGTCCGAGTACATGCCCGGCTCGCACTTGGAGCGGCAACGATCGCGTCCGGGCGCGGCTGGCTGGTAAGTGAACGTTCCAGGTGGACAGGTCTGGCAGTCCTTGTAGCCTCCAATTGGCGGCTGGCCAGTGTAGCTGTTTCTGGGACACTCGAGGCAAGGCACGAGACCGGTAGGCGAGTACGTTCCGTAGCCGCAGACCGGTATACAATCGTCTATGCTCTTCGATCCTTCCTCCTTTGTATACGTGCCGAACGGACAGCGCAAGCAAGAACCTTGACGGTCGCTGTTCTGATAGAAGCCCTTCGAGCAGGCCGTGCATTGCTTCTGCTTTTCTCCGGCGAAGGTTCCAGCAGGACAATGCACTGAAAATGTGTAAACAAGTCTTGCAATAGGATTTCTTCAGAGAATTGCAATTATGTACATCCAATTAAATTGTACACTGCCCAGCGAGAAATGATTCGTCGAAACGACGTCAAATTGACGTCGCTTCGACATCGTTTCGACAAGTCATTTCTCACTGACAAGTGATGCTATTTCATTAATGTCTGGACCCGCATTTTTGTCTTCATTTTTCTCATCTATACAAATCACTGAGTTTCAGGCTGTATGTATGTAAGTCTGTGTGTATTACAGCCTGAAATTCATCGATGTATAGATGGGAATGAAGATTATGAAAATGTGAATCCTAGTAAAACTGAGGTCCAGGCATTAATGAATAGTGTACGAAATATATCCACTTACGGCAACGGGGAACGTCCTTGGTATTCGAGTTTAATACTTCGCCAATGCTGCAGGTGAAGCCCCTGTTAATGGCCGATTTGAGAGCACGGAGAGGCGGGCATTGATTGCCGATTGCGGAAACGTTCAACAAAGGTTCGATAACTGCACTCGCATGTGGGATCGACAAGTCAAAGATCAGATTCAACGTGGAGCCACAAAAATCGTACAATTGCGGTTGACGTTGCACCGGGACGATCACCAGAATAAAGTCCATCTGAAATTTTGTAGAAAATTCTCGTCAACCTTACTCCTCATCGACAGTAATTCTGATTTACATTAAATTCGATTGAATCGCATCAGCATAATCGAAAATCTTGGTTCATACCTTGAGAACGTTCTCTTCGATCAAGCTAGGTACCGATCTGACAAAAGACACGTTCATATTCACATTGACAGCGGAGCAACGCTGAGTCAAGATATTGTTAAGATTTGGGTAATGCTGGGCTATGATATCCTGGTACATCGGCAGGCAGTTTCGAGAAACGGCGCCGTTCGCACGATAAGTTACTGAGGCGATTACGTGATAGTCGGCCTGTTGCGTATCTACAGATGTCAATATTTGATTATGAATACATAATAAAATAATGTAAGGTAGCAACAGCAAGTAAAATAAAGTTGGTCTTCGGCAACTTACTTTCGGAAACGCAGTCGGGTACCACCGACGAGGGTGACCACCGTTTGTTGACGTCACACCCGAATGTTTTGTCGCGCGCACCGTCAGTGAATCTGTAGCCATCCTTGCAAGTCGCTACGCACTGCAGTCCTTTGTCGCCGGGAACGCACTGTATATCACCGTGAGCCGGCGGCTTCAGTTCCCAGTCGACGCAGGGCGTCGCTTGGACCAAAACTTGGAAGTGGCAAGTCGCTCGATTGCCGCTGGAGTCTGTCGCGTACACCGTGACGTTTTTGAAGTCGCCGGTTTTAATCATTGCGCGGTCCGGCACGAAAGTGATCTTCACAGGGCCGGACGCGTCCGTGGCGTTGATGCGTTTTCGCGTCTCGTTGAAGTTGATGGAGTAACTGTCTTGTTGATCGGTCAGTTCGATGACGTAGCTCTGAGGGCAGCTCAGTTTCGGTGGAGTTATATCTGCGACATCAGAATGTCCACTAATTTAGTATCTAATCAATGTTAATTAATAATTTGATTAAAATGTACATTTATAATATTTATTATCATTTTCGGCAAGATTTAGCAGCCTACCGAAGATGAAGTAAAACCAAATGCTCAAAGTACCAGAACAAACTGGATAAAACGGACTTTAAGCCTAATACACGAGGAAGAAGAAGAAGATTATAATATTAACATTTCTAAATATAATATTATGAAGAACGACTTTAAGCGTCCCTAGTAGCATTGACCAAATATTGATTAAACATTGGCCTAATATTTGGTTGTATCGGGCCAACGTTTAGTCAATGCACTGTGCTATTATATCCAGCGAGAAATTACTCGTCGATCAATGTCGATCAATGACAAAACGATGTCGAATCGACATCGACATTGTCAAATTCGACGTCAATTCGACATCAAATCACTCTATTAATACGCAAGACCGATATTTTTAAACATACGTTATTAAAACGCGAAATAAATCTACAGATAAAATAAAACTTGTCACTAACCCGGAACAGTGATGTTGATCTCGCAAATAGCTACATTGCCGTCGTAATCGAAAGCTATGTATTTGACGAACGTGTCTTCGAAGATTTGAACAGGGGTCTTGAAGTCCCGAGGCTTGACTTCCACTCGGGCGATGCTGCCGCTGTTGTCAACGGCAGTTGGCATCGTGAAGTTCACCGGCAGCAACTCTCCGTGGGCTCCCTTTTGCACGACTATCGGTTGCTTCGGGCAATTCTGGAAGACCGGCGCCTCGTTGTCCACGCAGGGCGAAAATCCGTAGTCGTAGCCTAACAACGGTTCGCTCGCCGGCTCCTCGCAGCCCATAAGCTCGAATTTCAGACAGGCGTTATCCATGTAGCTGACGATACCGAGAATGACGAAACGAGCTTGCACGTACTTGGGCAGGGTGATCATCGCCAGTTCTCCGTAATTCCCGGGATCGCGCATGGTTAGATTGAAATTCGGGAAGTAGACGACGTAATTGTCAGTTTCCGCCTGCTTGTAGAATAAACGGATCTCCGTGGGCCTGCCGACAATGTCGTTGGTGATGACGCCCTTCACGAGGATCGCCTTCACTCGATAGACGCGGCCGAGATCGACGCTGACGTAAGTGAAAGCTTCCTGCTTGCCGCACCAGCCGGTCACCGAGTTGAGTCGGACGTTCCTGGCCTCGTAGTTCGGTCTCTCGGAGGTGGCGTTTATCGCCGAGTCCGGGATGCGCCCGGAGGCGATACCGAGGGGTCTGATGACCTTACACTCGGGCTCGCGAATGCAGACGATCGGCCGCGGACTGATGAGGATGTAGCCGGGCCTGTTGCAGCCGAACTGCACCTCCGAGCCCTGCTCGTAGCTACGCGCCACTTGGAAACCGTCGCTCGGTCTGCCGGGATCATCGCACACCGGACCCTCGCACCTCAGGTTCCCGAAGTCCCAAACGCCGTTCGCCTGACAACGCACGACGTTGTCGTGGCGGTTGGTCTGGCCGGCCAATTTAAAGGTGTCTTGACAACCGAAGAAGAACGAGGATTGGTACTTGGTGTCCAGATAACGGCCGTACTCGGCGCCGGGTGTGGGAAGCGGCTTGCCGCAGTCCATGCGAGGACAGGCCGGCTGTACGCCAGACAGCCAGTAATCGGGCAAGCCGGGTTTGGGATTGTACACGCACTGCCGGAAACTGGACGTCGCGGTTTTGCGCAAATAGCGGCCGTTGTTGCTGCATTTCAGGGTGACATTCTGCTTGAAGGATACCAGTACGCTGGCCTCGTTGTTTCGGATCACAGTGAGACCCTCGTTCTTATCGTCCGGCAGGGATACGCATTTCGCGTCTGTAAAAAGTTGAAGAACGCACTTGAATTACTTTCAACAACAGACCCTTGGGAAAATTTACTTTAAATGAAATTGAAGTTTTTGAAAGTAATCTTTTAAATCCAACAGTCTACTTACAGAAGTTAAAAGTTTACTTAAGAAATTTGAGAGTAATTTTGGACACTGACAGTAATTTTTAGATAGCCCAGCTTGTCGAAGTTTCCGCTAAAGGGCTGCGCGGCATAGCACTTTCTCGTAAGAAGAAAATTTTACATCACATATACTTTTCACACAATTCTTACAGTTTTCTTTTAAATTCTTAAAGTAAGTTTTAAGTCTACCTTAAATAAAAGTTTAAAGTGCCCAAATTTACTTTTCATATTTCTTATATTTCTAAAGTAAAATTTTAAGTTCTTCCAGGGTATATTTTCCCAAGAGAAGATGCACAAATGTGAGAAATTTCTTGTGGAAAGATCGTATCGTAAGACGGGGATGCAACAGAAAGTTATGTGCGATAATTTCGGCACGTTCTGTTCGTTACTCACATTGACATTCTGGAATGGTTCCGTTCCAGACTCCAGAAGAGGTACACATTACAGCTAAAGATCCAGATAGAACGTAACCAAAGTTGCACTGAAATCTGACGAGGTCGCCAAAGTGATGCTGCACCTAGAACGAAGAAATTCTCTCATCTTAGAAAATATTTACATACAGCAGTAACGATCGTAACGATTAACATTTACTCGGACGACGACGGGATCGCGTTACTTCATTGTTATCTTACCTCAGTCGACAATAATTTTCCATTCTCCGGCGCCGTTAGCGGCGGACACATCACCGGCACGCACGTTTTATTTCTCTGATATATATCTCCGTCTCGTTCGCCACTTTCCGATCTCATCAGGTTGAATCCGGCCGTGCCATTGCCCTTGTACAGTTCATAGCCCGTGTTGCACATGCAGGAATAGCTGCCGGGACTGTTAATGCACTTTTGAAGGCAGCCGCCGTTCCTTGTAGTGCATTCGTCGATGTCTGAACACTCCAATCTGGTGCAGCCCATTATCTCCAGCTTCATACACGGGGCACCGATGTAATCCTGTATCCTGAATCTCACGTAGCGTGCCTCGATTGGCACAGGTAGATTCAGGACGGAAAGCGTCGCCTCCAAAATTCTGAACTCCACCGGCGTACCGTCCGGGTTCTTGTATTCCTTGAAGATGTCCGTCAGATCGTTCGTATACTGCATCCGCAGGGCTGTCGCGTACGCAATGTTCCCGTCGATCCTGGCCACGACTTGCGTGCGGAACCCAGTAATGATCGTCGGCGCTTTCATGTCGATCATCACCCAGTTCGTACCCAGCTCGATGTTGTTGCCGCACCATCCGTCGCCGTTGTTCAAACGAATACCCTTCGACAGCAGAAAGCACGCGTAGCAGTTGACATTATAGAAAGAAGTGAGGATACGAGTTTATGAATAGAAAATGTGCCCTACGGTTTTTGTATATCCCTTTTCAGAGCTCGAAACTGTGATCGACTCGTCGGGGATGCCGCCGTTGATAAGACCAAGATCGCCGGTGGTCCGACACTTCATGGTCGGTTCGAAGCCCGGTTTGCATTTGCAGGTGAACGCACCGGGATTGTTTATGCACTCCGTGGACGCCAGGTCGCACTGGCTCGATGCGCATTCGTTTATGTCTGCGGGCACAGGTGGAGGAATATGAGGCAACCGCGCATTTCCCGTCGTAGTAAACGATTTATGTTGTAAAATCTACCTTCGCAAGTCGGCACATTATCGAATCGTTGGAAAGGACCGCATTGTATAATGTTTGATCCGATTAGCTTGTAGCCTCTGTTGCATTGCACCCTGACTTCATCGCCGAAGAAGTAATCTTTGCCAATGTCGACAACGAATCCATTTTTAATTGTGGGTAACAACGGACATTTGGCACCTGTTAATCAGTATATTTATTATTATTGAGCAGTTTGCTATGAACAAATTGTCGTCAGCAGTTAATTAACGAAAGAGGTCGAGGGCCAAGAATTACGAGCGGTAAAACATGTTGCATGTATTAAATAATAGTTTACTAACGAAGGACAAACATTTCGATCGTCCCAAGTCTTTCTCAGAGCGACTTAAAACCGCGAAATATAAATTAATCAAATAAATAGGAACAACGAAGCAAATTAACAACGTAAGTAACACAGCGACAGAGTAAAAAATAGGAAAAAAGTTTATATTTGAAATCCACACGAATGTGGATACAAAGTCTACTTACGCGAACACGTTGGCACTTCGTCGGACCAGGTACCGTTGCTCATGCAAAGAATGACAGGATGCCCGCTTCGAACGTAGCCGGGCTCGCACTCGAATCTGATAATCGTGCCATAATTTCGGCCAACTCCGTTCAAGATAGTAATATTAGAGTGAGGCGCTTCTGGCAGCTGAGCGCACTGAGATGCTGAAAACGAAAGGACACGTTTCTTCAATCTGACACTCTGCTTCGTTTCATGCTGCATGCTGATCATATCGCTTGTGAAACTTTCAGCGAACCTGAGCAGGACGGCTTCTTTTCCCACATTCCGTTAGGCAAGCAAGATATCTTCTCCGTCGGTCTTCCGGAAGGAAACGCGAATCCCGCGTAACACTGATAGGTCGCCAGTCCTCGGTAAGTAACGTTCGAGGAGCCGATCGAGAATCCGTTATCGATTTGAGGCACTGGGCCGCAGTACACCTCTTGGCATTTAGGAATGTACGTAACCGACCAGTTTCCACCGGAGAGACATTCCGTGGAAATCTTCAATTTGCCTGTGGCAAACTCTTGTCCCAGCGGGCAGGTGAAGTTAACTACCGTGCCGAAAGCTGTGTCACGACTCGACGCTAAGGCTCCCGCGCCGGGTTGCAACGAGGGACAATCTAAAATTAATTTATTTCCCAATATTAGCTTAATTATTACTCAAAAGAAAAGAATCTTGCAACAACAATTTTCTAGTGAGATATGTAAATAAACAACCAATACTGCGAAATTGTATTTGTTTTGTACTTGATTAATTTAAATAACAGAAATAGAATTTTTATCTGAACTGTTAGCGAATGTTAGGAAGAGAGTCTTTCTGTGGCGCTCATCCATTACAACGTTTGATTCTGATACATAAACAGTTATATTCCTTGCAAAGATTGTTCTAGCTATGGTGTCAAAATTTATTTTTATCCAACGTGAATGATTAATATTTAATCGTGAAACTTAAACTTTCCAGGAGGTATTACTGGAATGTTGCTGCTATAAATGTTGTAGGCTACAAACGATTTTCTAAAGCATGTATTAGACTTGAGATTGAGATCAGATTAAAATTTGGCTAACTAGAATAAAGTTTACTAAAATCAGGTTTAATGAATTTTACTCTGGTTTAATCTCAATCTCAATCTGTAGTCTGATACGGGCTTAACAGACCCGGAAAAAATGGAAATATCTCATCATATGTGTACATGTCTCAATCATGCAATATTTAATTGTATCCAATATTTAAATCATCAGATCTTCAGAAATCTGAGATTTTTATTGAATATTCAATGTTATTATTGATTGAGATCTAATTATGTCCTTTTAGAACATTTAATTATAGACTTAGTTAGATCTCAATAGATAATCTCGAACATTCAAGGAAAGAGTCAAATCTCTGAGCATCTGATGATTTTTAGAGTTGAATCTCATGAGATATAGTTGGATATTACATGATTGAGATATGTATAATGAGATTTTTCCATTTTTTCTCGAGGATGTAAAAAGTAGCGATCTACCTGCGTTAGTACAATATTTGTTTGAGTGATTATACGTATTAAAAAATAAAATAAAACGTAATATGCCTCACCGGCAGAAAACTCGGCTTTCCAGCCGATACTGCTGTGTAGAGCATCAGTGGTGAACCTAACAAGCATTTCTCCGCTTTCCGCGGTGAGCGTGATCTTGGGTCGAGTGTTAGAGGTGAAACCGTTTCCGGGATGCAAGCGCAGGCCATTCGTATTGGAGCCGTCGTATATCTGCCGATTTCCCGTGGAAAAGCGAAAGTCAATAATCCAAACGAAAAGGAAACTCCGTCGCGTTCGTAACGTAATTCAACTATACCTGCACGTGGTCGGTTTTGTCAACGTCGAAGCTGCGGAATTTCAGAGAAAGCGGCCCCTTGTCTGGATTTTTGATTCTGTACAAACAGTCCTGATTATTTGGATAATTCGTATTATTGCGCTCGTAGGATGGCGATTGAACTGTTCCGTTTCTCGCGAAGACCGTGGCTGTGCAGCCCTGCGTAAAGCGAATGCTGAAACCGCGCCTGGAGTCGCCGAGGCTCGTTTTAAAGTACAAATACAAATTGTTTCCGGTGGACATGATCACCGTCGGGTTGTCCTTCAATTTTCCGGATAGAATCGTGATCTTTGGGCTATTGGGCGAATCTCCGTCCCTGATGAGGACATAATCTCGATTGTTTTCGAGGTCCAAGTCTTCGATCTAGAAAGTTAAATCTTTGAATTTCCCAGACACGTTTTACGGGCCTTCGTTTAAAGGGATTTTAATGCTGTATTAATGAAATATCGCGATTGAAGTAAACTGGATATGTGAAGTTTCAACGTACTTCCAGGGATATTATGCGTCCTGGATGAGCCTGCAGGATATACAGACACTCCAGTCCACCGGGATAATTCTGCGGGTATCCGGGGGACGTGAGCACCTGGCCTTGCGGCATCGCCTTGAGGATCCCGCCGCAAGTTTGCGGTTCGGTCTTCCACGAGGCGCGGAAGCCCTTCCTCTCCACCGAGGCGTCGGTGCTGAATTTTATAATCATGAAGTTTGAGGCCGAGACGAAGAATTTATTGCCGAAGTCCTGCTTGCCGGAGAGGGTCGCCAGATTCACGGACTTCTTCTCGGTTCTACCGCCTACGAGAATCTGCACTATGTCGAAGCTCTTCTCGGTTTCGAATTCTTGGAACTGGAACACGAGACTCATTTTGCAGTTCCATTTGAGGCCCGGAGCCTTCGCTCCACAAAAGTCTTACAATGAATTATATCAAGTGTCATTAGCTTATCGAACGGGGGACGTTAATCGAATAAATGACCCACCTGCAGGAGGATATTGTGTCCTTGAGGACCCTCCAGCGTCCACTTGCAATTGCTGAGGGGTGCATATTTATGCGGGTAATTTGGACTCTCCACGACGCCGCTGCTGCTCGTCATGTAATAATGGCAATTAGCCGGACAGTCCAATTCGTCGGAATAGTCGCCGCAGTCGTTCTGCTTGTCGCATTTGAACGCCGCGTTAACGCAGTTGCCGTTCGAGCAGTGGAACGAACCTGCGGAGTTATCCCGTCACGACGGATTATCATCCCGTTTTCACGTGAGATATGGAGAACGCGGCCGGCCGGCCGTTACGCGACCGCTTACGTTGCCCGCAATTCACGTGAACGGACTTACCGGAAGGACAGGCGTTGGCACGACACATGAAAGGGAGCAGCGACTCGCACGTGGTCAATTCCCACGTTTGCTGGTCGTCCGTCAGCGCGACGTTCACGCATTCGCCCGAATTCGGATCCGGCTGCTTCAACGTCCAGAAACCTACATTTTTGCCAACAACGTGAAAACGGCCGCCTCTGCCAATGTCGGCGACATTGGTTCTATTTCGTCGAGATAATTATTGGCATTAGAAATATCCTGAATGCCATTAAGACGTTCTCGTAACGAAGTTACATCCGTATGTGTACACGGAAAAAAAATAAAAAATGCTAAATTAAAAACAATCAAGTTGCTTGAATTAAACGTTAAACGTCACGGGCTGCCACAAACACAAATAATTCACTCAATTGTATTTGCTGTCGATTTTACTTTTAACCATAACTAAATATCCAGATTATTAAAACAACTATCGGATGTTTTCATTCATCGATACTGATGTTGTTTCAACCATTTTATTCCAATTACACTGATCTTGTTGATACAACATCAATTTTTTTCCGTGTATAAAAACAATTAAATAAAGAGAGAGAGAGAGAGAGAGAGAGAGAGAGAGAGAGAGAGAGAGAGAGAGAGAGAGAGAGAGAGAGAGAGAGAGAGGGGGGAGATCTTGATGATAGCATATTAATAACACGAATATCTTGACTAATGCATGCTTGTACGACTTTGTCGTATATGTCTTTATCAGGGTAATTTCATTTGCTAGCGATACGTAGTTAACTATGAGCCCGGCGCATAATTAATAGTGCGGCTTAGTAGACGGTGTGCAAATGCATTAGATGAGGAAATTGCAGCTTGCAACGAACGGACGTGAAATGACGACGTCTGGGCATTGTTGTGGGAAAAGTGTGCCTTCGTCCCGCGTATGCGAGTTCCGTGTTCCGTGACCCTGATAGAAACTGGCCCCGCGTGTACGCGAGGTCGAGGCTTTGTGCGAAACGACCGCGTCACGACTCTATCAACTTAATTTCATAATACACTCGTAACACGCTCGAAAATTTTTACCGGGACAAAGGAAGCTTTTGTTGCTATCTTTTCATCGCATATACATTCATACCGCGAGTGAATTCATGGTTCCTAATGATTTCAAGTGTTTTAAAAGTGTGCCTCTTGCGTCGTGGACTTTTTAATCAACTTCTCTCCAAGGGTCAATTAGTGCGTTATCACTGAAACCAGTTAAGCCTCGTCTACATAGAAGTCGTAAAGTCGTAGTCGTAAGAATAGCCGACTATGATTGATTAATTCTTATGTGTCTGATTGAATTGACCAATTAGTCGATTATTCTTACGACTGCGACTCTGCGACTCTCATTGCAGACCCCGCATTAGAAGTGTAGCACTAAATGATTCTGTAATTGAATATTCACCGTTTTCAGTGACAATCCACTGATTAACGTTTAGAAAATACCCTAATAGCACAGTGCATTGGCTAAACATTGGCCCAACACAAGCAAATATTGAGCCAATGTTTAACCAATGTTTGGTCCATATACTGCGCGCTACTAGGGTTGACTTTTGCTCAAGAAAGACCGGCACTTACAATCCTCGAGTAATTGGCTGATTGAAGAATGAAGTTGTAGGTGAACATAGACTTTTCAAGAAAGGAGAACGAAAGAATCGCATTCTTAAATCGATGTCAGGCGGATTTCAACGGGAAGATATGAAAAATTAAGCATTTGCGTGATTTCATCCCCTTCACTTCGAGAGTCGCGTTGCCGACCGCATCGTATCACGTGGGATATCGGTCAAGGTCTCTTAAGCAGCCGATCGTTAATGGCGAGAAGCGCGAGTCTCGCTCGAGAGACAGATAAAAGGAAAAAAAAGGGGGAAGAAGCTGTACAGGATGCGTTACGGGATCCGCTCGTGCAGAACGCACGGTGGCCGTCTGCAAATCGAGCGAAACGGAATTGCGTACGAACCGGAGTATTGCGAGACGAGCGATCCCGCGGCAGATTCGAGCGTGTTGGTATTCAGATTGTCGAGCGTGGCGAGACCCAGCCAGTAACGATCGAAATGCCGGCCGATCATGTTCGCCGTCATGTTGTTCTCGCTGTATGACTGCACCACCATCAGCTCGCTCCCGTATCTGCAATAGAAATGTCAAAACGTTGATGACTCGTCTCATAGTGCGGAGAGGAATGAGACAAATGGAACGTTTCTGTATCCTTTTCTTGGAAAACAAATCGGTTTGGTTGAAGGCTGTTGAAGAAGATGCGTTCCAGAACAAAAAGTAACATTAAAACAGCGATCATTTCTAGAAAGTCAAGACGATATTTAACACTTTTAATGAAACGTATTTTGACTTTTCGAGAGACTTCAGCCGAGAGAATGTAAATTGCTCGTGCATGCGAAATGATTCAAATCTCGTAGATATTAGAGGAAAGTCCCTTATCACAAGATAGGCCTCTAATATGAGACAGCAGGTTTCCAAATTTAATTACAAATCTTCTTTCATAACAATTGCACGATCTAACAATGAAAGAAAAATGTCACTTATAGTCGCTAGTGATTGAAAATTAAAAAGGGGAGCCGACCTTAATTCAGGTTCACTTCAAGTAACAATGCAAGAAATTATTCAAATCGAACCTCCGTAATGTTCAGATGTGTTTTTATTCTTTGACTCTATATCACTATTACGATGACGATCGCTTGTCTATGAAAAATTTCTTGTATTGTTACTTGAAAAGGACCTGAATTAAGGTCGAGACGTAACAAATTTAACAAAATTTGCCAGTTGGGTTGGCGGATGAAACTCACCTTTTTTAATCAATAAATAATGTCTCTTAATTTAGCAGAAAACCTGCTATCTCATATTAGGGGACTTTCCTCTATTATTATATTTTATAAATTCACGACTTTGTGAAAATAGTGAAAATCAAGCATTAATTAATAGCTTGATTTTTCGTTCACAAAATACAAAATAGAGGCTCAAGAATGGAAATCTCATAAAATATTGAACAAATCCTTATCATAATAGTATCATCATTTTGTTAAAAAGGACATTTTGTATCCATTATTATTTGTTAGAACCCTATTGAAGTCCTAACATAATTACGCGAAATTGTAAGTTGAAATTATCGCGAACCATGTCAAACACTGTCTCTGGTCAAAATATGACTTTTGTTAGACTATGAGTGTCACTTCGACATCTTCGTCACAATTTGTTCCGCTCGGGATCGATCCTATTCTGGGGTCAATAGTCGAAGTCGAAACTCCGGTGCGACACTGACGAAAGGGAAAGATCGATAACGCATGCGACTTACCTCCTGCATAATTCCGCCGCTTTTTCCCAGGAATGCCTGATGTTGAAGAATTTATAACAGTGTATGCCTCGCAGCTCCCATCCTGTGGAAGGAAACACCGCATTAAGCTGTCTGCCTTAGATGCAGAGATTGTCTGAGCGCAAAGTTGCAATAACACGCCGCGAGCACGCAACATTGCTAAGGGGATTATTGGAACACATCACGTTACCGATTACACTAATTGATTGAAATCTCTGAAATTACAGTATAAGGACTCGGCGATGCGCTTGTAAGTTTTTGTATACCTTTTAACTTATTCGCGAGTCGTTGGAAATTTTTACAAACTGGAAAGCACAGAGGCACAGAGGTGCGGATGCGGGAAGCCTTATTTTAAGGTCGGCGAGCGCTTCCGTACAACCGGATGCTCCAACTTAACCATCTTCTGCCGGCGAACGTACAGAAGACAGGAAAGGCGGTTAATCGGTGACCCGCACCGACGGCGACGGACACAACGGCCTCGATTGTTTTTAGTGCATATGGTGTGCCTTAACGCTCGTATCAGACCACGGATTGAGATTGGGATTGGATTGAAATTTTACCAATCACAGTAAAGTTTACTAATCTCAAGTTTAGTGACTTTTACTTTAATTGGTCAAATTTCAATCTAATCTCAATCTCCATCCGTAGTCTAAAAGATCTCGCGGAATAGCGAGACTCGTGACGGTGGGCGGTTCGATGAGTCTCGCAGATTGCGCTATTCATTTTTGCCTGTATTTACTCGATCGCCTCGATACTTCGGTTTCAATTTCCCTCAAATCCGATCGCCGATAACCATTTTTTCGACGATTATCGCGGTACCTTCGGTTCACGAGGTAGGTACGCAGTTTGTATTCTGATTCACAAGGTTTACTCAAATCTGATTAGTCGGGGAGTAATTCGACGCGCTCGCTCGACTGAGAAATTGCATCGAAATAATTTTCCGTATTGGTCGACGTGAATATCGCGCATAGGATACAAGAAGCTTGTACCCGGATCGCTGCCGGCGAGAGCTTTTATTTCACGGCGTGTCGTACGTCGTCCGAGGATGCTCTCGAGTTTCCGCGAACTCGATTCGTGTCAGTGGTTCGATCAAAGTAAACCACCTCGTCCCCAGTCGGAATCTCGTGTAACGAACGATATCGCGTTTCGCGTATCTCTGATCGATAGAATATGTAAATTACTGGGCTGCTAAAGTTTCGATCTCCGGGCGGGTATGATATTTCGCAGTTATCTCGCGGGACGGCAACAATGGCGAGCGCCGTAGCAGCGCGTTTCATTGTTCGGGAAATAATATAACGTCGCGAAGTAGGACTAACTAATATTATCCCTCGGCTTCAAATAGATATCTGTTCTCTAACCTGTGACGTAAATTGTGTAGATAACTCGAAAAGGAATTGAAAAGTAACTTGCCAAGTGTTCAATTCATGGCCGTTTATTGGCGATTTCTACTCGCTATCGAATGGTGTCGATGGTCGATTGAAAATGAATTATTCTGCCGATCATCCTCGTCATTTTACCACCGTTTGATGACACAGTCGTAAACCTAAATGCATAAAGAGCGTATTCTACTGGATACTTTCCAATTGAGTTAGGTTGCCACAATTTCTAGATGATTACGTCAAAATTTTTATAATAGTTTTTACGGAAAGTTAGATTTACTTTCTTTTATCTTCCTTTTATTTTCGACGGATGGTCTAAACGTTTATTCTCTCGCTGTCTCGCTGCTGGATGAAAACGGAGGATCCTACGTGGAATGCAATTAAAGATGTTGCGCGTTTCGTTGGAACACGCACGTTGCGTGGTGGAGAAACGAGATGCAGCATCACTCAGTCATGTTGCAGTTGGCGCGAAATTCGCTGGGAGAGACTCGATGACGACCTTCCTTTCTTTCAAAAGGTCAAACGGCCATGCACGCACGCGGTTCTCTCGACGTATATTAGCATTTCTCGTCCGTGGAACGTGTGTGAAATATTATTTTCTCTCGGCGACGAGACGCGTGATATTTCAACCAACGATCGCGTAATATTAACGACGCATCGCGAAAAATGGAGTAAATCACATTTCGTTACTGCGAAATGTAGATTGAAATATAACTGGCTTATGAAACAAATTTTTCTATTTCACAGATGGATTTTGGTTTCCTCAAGGCGATGCGTCATACGCTTTCGCCGATTACGAAATTACGAAAACCGTTTCCAATTTTTCCCGAAAACGGTTTTACAAAATGACTTAAAAATGTTGTAGTCGACGTCCGATTAATATTATAGACGAACAAAGTGGTTTTCCTGATTTGGAAAAAAATCGACAGTTTTATTGATTACAAAATATTAGAATTATAATTTATTACAGTTTACCTGGCAAATTCTGTAATTTTTTAAATCAGAAAAACTACGGAGAATCACTTTGTTCCTGTGTCAATCAGACGTAGACTGTAAAAATTTCAAGTTATTCGGTAAAGCCGGTTTCGAGAAAAATTGGAAGCGGTTTTCATGACTTCTTTATCAACGTAAGCGTGTGATACGTCTTAAGGCTTGCGTCCACGATGATAGAACTCGGTCCAAGTTCTAGTTTCGAGAAATGTGTACCCAATCAACTTGCGGTAGCTGTTCCATAAAAGCTGTAAATCGATTGGCTGCACATTTCTCGAAACTAGAGCTTGGACCTTCAAGCAACGTGGACGCAGGCCTTTAAAGCCTACAGGGAAACCAAAATCGACCTTGAAATTGAAACAATTCGGTATTCAATGGAATACAGATGTGAAAGAAACTGGAACGGAGACTCGTAACGGATCGAAAGGGTTCGCTCGCTGATGCAGCGAGCGGATGATATAATCCTTCGACTCGTCAATTGGCACGCGAGAGCACGCGGAAAGGCAGCCTTCGTTTCTCTGTTTTTCCGAAGGCAGAGGCCTTCTTGCGAGAAGCCGAGGTACACGCACGACGGATGATCGCGTAAGAACAGATGAGCGAGCAAGTTGCCGGATGTTCTACTTTTTGGAATCCCGTTTGACGGCGCGCTCGGTCGAGTTTCCTCCGTGGTGCATAACTCGAGAAGCGAGAAGCCGACGTATATTTTTAGGGCCACTGCACGCACGACGAGACCAGGCGGACGACGATTCGACGTGCACAAGGGTGGACGAGAAGGAGGCGGAGAAGAGCAGATGAAAAAACGCGGCGGTAGATTCATGGTTTAGGAATGCCGTCCCGTCCTTTCTTCCCCCTAGCTGCCTCTGGATCTTGATTCGACGTGGGCTCGAAAATTTCGGCCCAAGGCTTATCTCGTATTAGGCAAGATTATCCTTTCAGAAAGCGTTAAGCTAAAGGCTGATGTTGGTTGGAATGTTGTGGAATAAAGTTGAAAATCTTGGTCCAAAACGTAAAATTCTTTCGCGACGTTTTATATAGATGCAAATATTTTCGTCCGTGTAACATGTACAATTAAAAAAATGTCGACAAGAGAGGTATACGTATCGCAACCGATTTCAGTGTTGGCTTCATTTGAGAACAGAATGAGGCTGTCTTGTGACACGTAAGATACGAGACAGTTATTGTTCGTCACTTTAAGACAAAGGTCCATATTCCGAATCCTCTTTTATCGATAAAAGTGTCTGTAAGTTATACTGTGGTAATACCATAGATTTCTAGACAAGCTGTGTGAAGTACAGCTTGAAACTCATCGATGTATAGATGGGAATAAAGATTATAAAAATGTGAACCCTAGTAAAACTGAGGTCCAGTCATTAATGAGTGAGACTGTACATTCTTGCCAAGATCTTTATCTCGATTAGCCATCGTTTAACGTCCAGTGATATTCATTCAAAACAAATCCTCGGTCTATCGATGAAATTGTCTCGCAATTCGCGCGTGTCCACGGGACTAAAGGCGTGACTGAACGAAGCGCGGTTTAAACGAGGCACTGGGGAAGAACGAGAGAATAGAAAACACACACGGAAGAAAATAGCACTTGCAATTTTTCAGGCGCACGCGACGTCTTATGGCTAACGACCAACCGGCCCCATATGGTACGTGCAACCTACTTAATTGCATCGGCGAGTAACGAGGAAAAGTGGAGCAGCGTTACGAATGGCCGAACTCTTATCCTCATTGTCCTCCCGCGAGATTTATTTATCGGACATGCGTGCTTGTCTCATTTTCGAAACTCTTGCGTTGCGAGGTGTAATTGTCGGCGTGCAATTTGCGATTCAAAGCGTCGCTACGTGATTTAAATGTGAGCGGCGACGCGTCCCAGTAACGATAAAAAGGAGGAGTCTTCCGTTGGTTTCCCTTATTTGCAATTGTACCTCGCGCTACGCGCGTCGAGGAAGCAATCTCTTCGCGTACAATCCGCGGAATAAATCCTACAAAACTTGGCCGTTTACTATTTGCGATAAAAATATTGCGGGCGATATTGATTCGCGAGTGAGAAACGCCGAGTCAGACCAAACAAACGAAACCGTTCGATCGTAAAAAGGGGGCTTTACAAATGCATTATCACTTAATAGAATCGTGCTTTACTCCGGCGAGATTTCCTCGGGTTCTGCCGAAGTGTGATTTATCTTTCCCCGCAGTTATCCAAACAGCGGACTACGCGGCATTAGCCGTAATAGCGTTTACAGTTCCTCAATAATCTCGAAACTCGCTATGTGCCGATTTTATTGCACGGTTGTCATCCCGTAACCTGCGAGACGAGAATATTCAGCGGAGGCCGATCGCGAAAGTAAGAGTCGCCTAATATCTTAACTGGCCGTTTTCAGGATGACGATTTCTACGATGTCTCCGGATTAACTTGGGAGAATCGTCTCGAAAACGTAATTGCGGAACAACTTTCACGTCATCTCGTGCCTTATCGCCGGCGATTCGCGGGATTTATTCATAAGTCGGACGTCCGAGTCATTTATATCAGGTCGTTTACGCGTGAAATATAATATTTATAATAGTTTACATCTACGCGTATAAAATGTAAACTCTAAGGGCCAGTTTCACAAACGTCGGTTAACTGTTAACCAGAGTTCAGTCAACTTCCTATCTTTTTCTATTTTGTTATCTAAGAAGAGACAGAGAATCAATTAATCTTCGGTTAGCAGCTAACCGACGTTTGTGAAACTGGCCCTAAGTAATCTATGGGTCGTTACAATTGATACTCGAAGACTTACATCTTTTGAAGTGTATCAAAAATTTATATTCTGTTCATGTTATTTTCAGTTGCTGGTTTGAACATAATTTAGGTGCCACGAAAAATTCACAACTGTTCTAAATATTTTGATTTTACATCTGTGATAGAAATTTAATATTTTCATTATATATTATTTAAACCGTGATATGCAAAGAACATTGTTAATATCAATACTCAAATATTAATAATCTGAAAAGTTTCTTTTTCTGTATTGTGTTATTCAATTTACAATTTATTTATCTTGTTTACGTACGAATAAAGAAGTTTGTGTAAACATACTGTAAAGAGTAAACAGTCCACGTAGAAGTACAGTGAGAAAAATTTCCATCGGATAAGCCAATTAAATAGTATTTCCGATGGTTAATTTTTCCGATTAACTTTTCCGATTAAATTATTTCTCAGTGCAGGTTTGGGAAGTAATTCGTTACTTGTAACGAAGTTACAGTTACAGTTACTTGTTTTGGTAGCTCTAACTTAACTTTGTTACTTTCTTTCCATCTGTAACTGTAACTTAACTCAATCATATTTTTTAAACTTCCACAGATTGCATTAGGCCTTGCATTACATTAATGCATAAACACCTTCATCGTGATATTTTTATTTTCATTGCAAGAAAGTAACTGCAAAGTAACGATTCGTTACTTTTTCAATAACTGTAACGTGTTACTTTTCAGGAATGGTAACTTGTAACTGTAACTAATTACATTTTTCGCGAAAAAAAACTGTAACTGTAACTAGATACTTTTATAGAGTAACTTTCCCAACCCTGGTTATTATGTAATTGGATTATCCGATTATATTTAATCGGATATTTTTCTCAGTGTAATCTGGAAATTTACGGCGTGACTTATTACATGTATCGCATTTGAATTTTCGAGGATTATTTAAATTTCTGTAGATTTACGGATTAAAGTATTCTCGTATTTTCTGCCGCGGATGCTTAAGTTATTCTGAGGAATTTTTTTCGTATTTGTCTAACAGATATGCGCGCGCCTAACGAAAAGGGAAGATTTGCTTTAAGTATCGCTTCTTTAAGCCATTGGTATACAAAGGAGTGCCATTACTCACCGTTTGGACAGGTAAAGACATTTGTAGTAGGAACCTGCAACAGAAAGGAAGCAACGTTTATTTAACACTGATAGTTGGCACCTGAACATAAATGATGGTAACTGAGCTCTAAACCGCGATAGCATCGAAAGTACATCGAGTTTGCGTGGTACTAGGCGATAAGCTAAAAACTTTCCTAAATTGCTGATCAACGAAACAAATTTGTCGATCGTAATTAAATATCAAGATTTTTTTCACAAATACTAATTTTTTCAATAGTTTAGCGTAATGTTGAAAGCATATTAATATTATTTGAAATCGCTAAAAGTTTTTTAAAACTGTCGCAGTACTTGAAATTATAGTAGCGATATTTAATAAATAATAAAAATATGAGAATATTATTTCTTTTAGATCGATAAATTAATGAGAATTTGTCGAAACAAGTGACTGAGATTATATATGTCTTAAATCTCTCGTATGATTACTTCACATTTGGAAATCGCAGTTTTCGCCAGTGGAACAAATTGTCGTTGCACTCGAATTTAACAAGGAGTAAGATTATCAAGATTTCCTTGTGAATAGTAATTTTTTCAACAGCTGATTACGATAACGGTAGCTAATACTGATTGGAATGACTAAAAGCCTTCTTTAAACTGTAGCAATAATTTAATAGATAGTAAAGATACGAGAATGTTATTTCTTTTATCGATAAATCAAACGAGTTTTTGCCAAAACGGGTAACTGAGATCGCTTGGAATCTCAAGTCTTGTAATGTGTTACTTCACAGCTGGAAGCCACAATTTTCGCGTGCCAGTGGAACAAATTGTCGTTGCGCTCAAATTTAACAAGGAGTAAGACTATCAAGATTTCTTTATGAATATTAATTATTTTTCAACAGCTTGTTACAATAATGGTAGCTAATACTGATTGGAATAAGCAAAGAGCTTCTTTAAATTGTAGTAATGATTTAATAGATAAGAAAGATACGAGAATGTCACTTCTTTTATCGATAAATCAACGAGTTCTTGCCAAAACAGGTGTCTGACAAGACCGCTTGGAATCTCAAGCCTTGTAGTGTGTTACTTGACACTTGGAAACCGCAGTTTTCGCGTGCCAGTGGAACAAATTGTCGTTGCGCGCAAATTTAACAAGTAGCATATAACATTATCAAGATTTCTTTACGAACATTAATTTTTTCAACAATTTATTACAACAACGGTAGCTAATACTGATCGAAATGACGAAGAAGCTCCTTTAATTTGTCCTAGAGATTTAAACTGCAGCAATGATATTTAATAGATAATAAAGACACGGGGATATTACTTCTTTTATCGACAAATCAAGTTCTTGTCAAAACAGGATAACTGAGATCGCTTGGAATCTCAAGTCTTGTATCATAGCGTGTTACTTCACACCTGGAAGATGCAGTTTTCGCGTGTCAGTGGAACAAATTGCCGTTGCACTCAAATTTAACAAGGAGTAAGATTATCAAGATTTCTTTATAAACATTAATTTTTTCAACAGTTTATTACAACAACGGTAGCTAATACTGATCGAAATGACGGAGAAGCTCCTTCAATTTGTCCTAGAGATTTAAACTGCAGTAATGATATTTAATAGACAATAGAGATACGAGAATGTTACTTTTTTTTATCGATAAATCAACGAGTTCTTGCCAAAACAGGTTCTGAGATCGCCCAGCATCTCAAGTCTCTTAGTGTGTTACTTCACACCTGGAAGCCGCAGTTTTCGCATGTCGGATTTAACTGTGGAAAGGCGCCGGCTAGACCCAAGTATGCTAGACGCATTGTTATCCGGCAGGAGAAAGTGAAGATGCAATCTGTCCAACGATCTTCGTTTCTCGCGTCCGTCTCTCAAGAGCAGCGGAAAGTATCCGCTACTCCACAAGAGCGGCTCGGACGCGCTCTCGTCTGTATTTCGACGTTGCTATGCGTGCGGTATCAGTGATATAACGGTGACTACATTCCTACGAGAGGTGCGAGTTGCACCAGCTGCGGAAAGGCTGCACCCTCGTGCATTCCTTCGCGCGGGCACGCTCGAAAATCGAGTTTCCGAGCTACGTGGCTCTATCAAAGTCATTTATCCGTAATATATTACGATAAGATAGCAATATTTTGTGAGGTTACATGTATATTAGGCAATTGTGCAACCAAACGTGTGAGCTCGCGCGAGGAAAGTGGCAGTCATTAAAATTTAAACCTATAGAAAATACCGAGAGTACAGCGTGTAACGAACGCACTCTAAGTTTAACAATTTATTGCGCTGGAGTCTGAGAACCTTAACAAACCGTATATATAAATGTAATATGGGGCGCAGCGAAATTAACATTCAAAGTCGTTGCGGGAGGCATTTCTGAACTCTCCAAGGATTCCTATCTTCCGCAGCCATAATCGTCGGACAGACTGCTAGATTTAGAGAGGAACATTTCGCTTCTCGAGGTGACGTTCGTCAAGGCGTCAGGCAGCAACGTTCAGCCTCGGACTCGCGTTCTCGCCACATTCTCTTCTCTCCCGCTGGTATCGGGGGCTACCAGTTCTGTAGTTAAAACGTTACGTCTGTGTGCGATCGCGCGGCACCTTGTGGCGCACATCGGCCACGGTGTGTGCCAGCGCGGGCGCGCTTGTGTGCACGGAAATTCACTTTCACCTCGCATACGCCACATCTCGTGGAAACGAGCCGCGGCACCGCTAACTCCTACGGAGCCCGGGCTCGCCGCCGACATACCAATTACTTCATAACCCACGCTTGAAACTCGCAGGAATCTCGACGTAGGGTTTACGCCGTGTATCACGAGCTCGCCCTCGCGCGCTTCCTTCCCGACCGCCTCGCCCCGACGGCAGGGCCGCGCAACTTTTTCCTCGTTGCAGACAGAATTATCCTCGCCGAGTACTTGGGGTTCGTCTCGTCCGACGTAATCGAGTTAAAAACCGGAATGTTTTGATCGAGTTGATGGAGGCAGGGGGAGAGAAGGAGCAGAACTGCCCTTAGGTCACGAAAGGGACGATAGACAAGTGATTAAGACTGCTTTCCTTTTAGCAAACGCAAATCGACATACGTTCACACACTCGACCACAGTTTGCCATAGTTAAATGGCAGAGATTCAAAGAGAAAGATTTTATCAAAATGCTGGAAGCGGATGCGCACTTCGGTCAAAAACACACCCCGACTCTCCTCACGAGCAGTGCTGATTAAGTTTGAATTGTAAACGGAAAGCGATGTGTGTCAATTTGTGTTAAAAATGTCGACTGTGTTCCCTAAAAGGAAAGCAGTCTAATTCAAAGTCTTATTCAGACGCGAGGTGAAATAAGCAGTCGTGAATATCGGCTAGCAATAGGCGCGATTAACGCGTAGCAACTCTGTTAGTACAATTTATTGGCGCAATATTGGGAAGTTATTCGACTAATGTTTCTAACATTGGTTTAATATCGTACAATGGCTGCCTCCTCTTATATGGTCAATATGTTCATTCAGCAATATTGGTTTATTGTATCACTGTTCATATTATATTAGAAAATCTCGGTCAATGCACTTCCAAAGTAAATCCAATCTTGTATAATTATTGTCGAGTAACATTTGCGTTTATTCTGTTAACTTTCGACAGCTCCGGTAGCACAATACATTGGCGTAATATTGAGAAGCAATGTAAATCTAATAATTCCAACATTGGTCCAATTCCATTTTCGTTATTCAGCCAATACCTAAATAAGACAGCAATGTTGGTTCAACATTGCATCGATGTTCGTATCATATTGAGAAATCTTGGACAATGCACTTCCAGCAATGAATATGAAACCAATACTGGCAACACTAGTAGCACAGTGCATGGACCAAACATTGGTTAAACATTGGCCTGATATTTGGTTGTATTGGGCCAATGTTTAACCAAAGTTTGGTCAATGCACTGTGCTACTGGGGAAATGTTTTGCCAGTACACTGTGCTACCAGGAATGCAGCGCACGCGGTGTGACTTAAAGTAACTTGGTTGAAACTTCGGCCGCGGTAAAAAGCACACTTGAACGCTCACCTGAGACTCCGTTAGCTGAAGATGGCACAAGAGGACGGCGACCCAAACGGTCGCCAATTCTCTTATCAGCATATTCCTGCAACAGACAAGAAACTCGACGTGAGTACAAGCGTCGATCTTACGTCGCAAGGTTTATAATTAAATGCTAGATATCGTCGGACGGCGTAACGGAGGCGGTGCGTAATTTTTCTCGGAACCCCTCGACTTTTCTCGGAATTTCTCGCCATTGACCGACGGCGTCCTCGTCATCGGCGTATTTAGCGATGCAACGTACGTTTCTTCGCGATCGCGAGTCCGCCGTGGGTCGTACCGTTGGAGCCGCGATTCGTTTGCGAGACTCGACGACCTTTTTTTTCTCCCCCTCCTCGCCTTCGTCGGACGTTCGTCATAATCGCGAAAGAACGCGGAAGGTATCGTCGTTTCTGTACACCGTCGAATACACACCCGTTCCCATAAAATTCCTTACGGTTTCTGTGGCTGAATTGTGGCACAGAGCGGTCGCGCATACCTCACCCCGCTGGGTACCGCGATAACCGCGTCGCCGGCCGCGAAGATTATTATTGATGACGTTACGCTGCACCGCGCACCTGTGTCTATTAACCCTGGACTACCAGACCTGATTTTTCGTCGCGTCAGACCTCAGCGTGGGGTCCTCCGGACCTCGCGCTGCTCTTCCGCGTTCGCTACGTCGCACGAATATGCCGGGGATGTGTTTAAACAAAAGATTTGTAGGAACATTACGGCTGATGTACGAGTCGGTTCGTTCGGAGGACTCCAAGAACACGACGCGGTCGATCTATTATTTATATTGTACATAAATAATATAAGTCTCACGCTCGGCACAGTCGGCCTTTGTATCGATTCGACTGAAGATCGGCTTCAAGGCCAGGCAGTTGTAGAGGAAGAGTCGGCTTTAAATCGTGTAATTGTCGAACATTGTATTAAATATATACTCTTCTTAACAGATAAGACTAAGCTCGTAATTTGTAGTGCGAAGTGGAAGGTTTCATGGGACCAAGCGAAAATTAAGATTTGAACAATACAATCCAATTTATTAATTAATACCTTCAGCTCGATGGTATTAACTAAATATAAGTCGACACGAGTAATCAAATTGATCCTAATCGAACGAAACGTGAATAAACACGAACCAACTTTATCACTCGTGTCAACTTGCATTCAATTAATATTGACTGACGGCCCGGTGAAGTTCGAAAATTATTGCAGACATTAATAAATTGGATTGTATATCGTTTCAATTCTTTATTCTTGCTCGTTCATCGCCACGTGAATCTTCCACTTTGTACTCTCTAAAAGTCAGTCAGTGACTTATCACTGAAAACAATGAATAGTCACTGATTCACGGCTATAAGTGTACCACTGAAAATCGCAGTGAATCAGTGAGCATTCACTGTTTTCAATGATAATCTACTGACTTTTGGAGAGTATTATATACTCGTCTATTCAGCTAACAAGTAATTACCCGAGTAGCACTGTGCATTAACCAAACATTGCTCAAACATTTGTCCAATATTTGGTTGTATCGGGTTTAGCCAATATTTAGCCACTGTACTGTGCTACTAGGGTTACGATCGCTCATTGTGACATGATTCGACGTCGTTTCGACATCGATCAACAAGTTATTTCTTGCTGGGCAGTCTTCTATCAAGACTTTTCAACAGATTGCTCCGAAAACAGCAACTCTTGGCAGATTCTGAATCCCACTGAAAGAAGAGAGAAACAGAAAAAGCGCGATACTGTGATTAACGCGGAATATGTAGAGGAAAGTCCGCTATTATTAGATCCACTCCTAATACGAGATAGCTATTAATAGGCATCATCTGTTGGTCCCACCCTGAACTTATTGCCCTTGAAGCGCAATCCGTTTGGTGGAAAATTCATTGGTAGATCATGCAATCGTCGCGAGAAAAAGATTGAGTTTGGACGTCGAAAACCTGTCTTATGTTAGGAGCATATCTCAAAGCAGGGAGTACTTTCCTCCATGTATTATCGCGGTCTCCAAGTCGCGAGTAGTTGGAGAACGGTGACGCAACGGACGCGAGGCGCATCGCGGATGAGCGAACTCGTGGGAAGCGCAGGAAAGCGATCTCGTGCGCGACGCGACGCGCCGCGTCGCGTCGCGTCGGCGGTGGCGTGGCGTACGGATCGCGAAAGTTTATTATATTTCGCGGCTTGCGGCCGCCGTTGTGCAGTCGCTTTTATGCAACCAACATCCATTGTACGTCCGCACGCGAGGCGGCACAATCGCGCCTCGCGCTTAACTGGAGCAAGCGGTCGTGCGATCCGCCGCGAGCATCCGCGTTTAATTAGCGGCTGGGTAATTAGGCCTCCTCGGATTCGGAGATGCCGATTGCGTCGTGGGAACTCGTGCGGGAGATCTTCCTTAATTGTACACACGCGATCTCTGGTCCCTCCCGAGATTCTCGTTCCGATAGTTGTCGAAAGAGAACGCGGAGACTCGAACGACGGTCGGAGAAGATGACTTTGGCGATTTAAAAGAAAAATGATATCGATCCCTCCTTCGACTAATCGCTTCAATCACGATATCGCGTTCTCTTCTATTCCCAGTGAGAAATGACTCGTCGATCGATGTCGAATCGACACCTTCAAATCGATGCCGAACGAGTCATTTCTCGCTGGGTTTCTTTCTTTTTTTAATCGCACCCACAGAAAAAAATTTCCGGATCCAATACTATTACACTTGAATGTATCATGAAATAGGATCGATATAGCGCCAGTCATTTTATTATACAGAAAGGAATATTTTTATCTTAAATGAAAAATTCTAAAATCTAGAATAAAATGATATTACGTAATCGTCTTTTGTCGAATATCGTGGCGCCAACTTCGTGCGTTGTAAGGTGGAGGGAAAATTTATTCTAAACGCAAGAATATATAAACTTACATTTATACAAGTTACTCTTGTCCCAATACAGTAAGTCAATCCTTTTTAATTCGATAGAGGAGAACAAGAATTATTGATTTTACTTAGATATTGCCTTATTTTTATACTAAATGAGGTTGTGAGGAATACAAATGCGTCAAGAATACTTTTTGTCTCAGTGACAGAAATCCTTTCGGACGGTGTGGATCCAGAGTCTATCTAAGGGTCACTATTTTCGGAGTAATTTGTTGGAGGGCCTTGGTAGAAGACTAATCGTAAAGGCGGGCGGAAATTACTCATTGATAAATTTTTACTTGCAAATATAACGGACTGCTCCGATCCGGGTCACACTTCTGCAACCGTTTGCCGAGCAAAAGAAGCTAACTCGCGTAAAATAAACCCCGCTCGGATGTTGTTGCGTAAACACGGTCGTCGCCGCGAACGAGACGATCGTGCCTGGCCCGAACGCGAGACCCGTTAGATTCGCGATCGGCAGGAAGCGTCCTATCGGCCAGGACCGGCCGCGACGAGATTACGAGATTATTCGCGATTACACCGTCGTCGGCCAGGAAAACCTTCCTGCGGTGAGCTAAATGTCTGGACGATGCCCCCACTGCCCCGCTCTGTTCGAGATAGTCGATCCCCGACGATTATAACGGTTTATCAGGGAATCCGGACGCGCGCGTCACAGCCGCGTGTATATAAATGTATGCGGGCACGAGGCGTCTCTGCCCGTCGAGGGAAACCATCAGCGATACACCTGTATAGGTGCGCGAACGTCGTTTCTGCTCCTGTCTTTAACTGCTGTGACATGAAACCGGTAAAACGAAGCCGGGCCGGTGTCCTTCGAGTTGCTCTCGAAAAGAGCCGTGGTCGATAAGTAATCGGAGAAGTTAAACCTGTTCGCGTCCCGCGACTTGAGTGAATACTCCTCTCGGACGACTACGCTTCTTCCGATGGAAAGATTCATACATTAGGAATGCACGATATGCAAAATTGCGAAACGTTACCTTGTCAAATTGTGTAAAATGGGCAAGGTCGAGTCGGTAGCACGTAGGATGTTGAGATCGAATCGTCCCTCACGTTCGTTCAGATTTACAAGTCATTTCTGCGTAGAATTTGGCAGAGAAAAGAAGGCACTGCGCGACTATTTGTAACTACGTAAAAGAACAAGAAAATAACGTAACTCGTAGACGAACAAGAGTAATGGTGTAACTACATGGACGGACGACAAAATGTGTACAAAAAATGTTAGCGACAGTTTACGAAGAACAAAGATACGCGTTAACTGTATTTACCATCGTCCCGAGCTGTTATTAGGTCGATGAATACAAATATCCGCTCGGCGCGATCGTTATTGATTCGCTCGCACTTCGCGCGACGAAGAACGGAGTGATTATACGTGGAGAGAATTTTCTCTTAAAGTTTATTCCGAATATCGTGTAATCGTGGGACAACGTGGCATTTCAAAGAATTTTACGAGAGTCTTTGGAAATTTGGCTAGTAAAATGTATGATAAAATTTCCAAAAACTCTCGTAAAATTCTTTGAAATGCCGCGTTGTCCTGCACGATTACACGATGTTCAGGATAAATTTTAAGAGAAAATTCTCTCCGTGTAAGTCGCGCATAGATCGGTAGAGAATTTTCTCTTAAAATTTGTTCTGAAAATCATACGGTCGTGGGGCGACATGGCATTTCAAAGAGTTTTATCAGTTTTTTGATACTTTACTACACTGAGAAAAATGACCGATTAAATATAATCGGATAATCTAATTACATAATAACAAACGGATATATCCAATTAAATTGCATATCCGATGAAAAATATGATCGGTTTTCCAATCGAATTTCATCGGTAACTGCATTTCATCGGATAAATTTCATCGGATGTATCCATAATTAAATCGGAACACGTAATCGGAAAAATTAACCATCGGAAACGCTATTTAATTGGTTTGTCCGATGGAAATTTTTCTCAGTGTAGTATGATAAGATTTCAAAAACTTTGATAAAATTCTTCGAAATGCCGCGTTGTCCCAGGATTACACGAATTTTCAGAGAAATTTTAAGATAAAATTCTCTCCGTGTATTCGCGCGTAGGTCGAAGACGGGCGGGGAGGCCGGGACCGGCGGAGGCTGGATCCCAGGCCGGCTAGAACTGGACTGGATCCTAGGTCAGCGCTAGAAAGTATTCGGGTTTCCTGTTAAGCAGCACGAAACGGTGCGTGTAAAAAGCGAGCAATGACTCCCGGAGGCGGTTTAAGCGCGACTTTCCGCGGTGAAGCCGAGCGTGAAGGAACGCGAATAATTCGGTGCTGGGGAACGGCCGCGGAATTGCGCCACTCGTCCGGCCGAGCTATCGGGTATTGATTACGGAATTTCTCAAAAACTCGTGCTCTTGGTACGCTTTGATATCCGCTCGAGGAACAGAAAGGTCACGCGGATGTCATAACAGATCGTTTTGCAATCGTAACATTCTGCAGCGTGTAACGAGCTCTGATAATCGCGTGGGAAATAAACGGTGCG